TGTGATCAGTCAAAAATCAATGGACAAATGATCGGTCCTTTTGAGAACACGAAAGCCTGGCATTTACGGCCGGCTGGAAGCAATCCTTTTACAGGCGTTGGTGACGGATGTGGAGGGGCCTCGCTTCGGACGGGGACCAGCACGTCTGCGGGCGGACCAGGGGCCAGAGCCGGTCTCCACGCTTCCGTCACGCACGCCCCACGCAGAGAAGACCAGCTGTGAGAGAGGCCAGCTCCCGTGGACAACCGTAGTGTCCGTACACACACTCTCCTCGGTGGACTTTTACTAAAAGAAAAAAAGGGAGTCCTTCTAATCTGGGGGTCTTCCCAGCCCTGCTGTGTCCATTTTTAAAACCCCCCCAGCGCACCTGATAAATAACTTTCCAATCAGGCCGCTGAAATGTGCTCACACTTCAGCTCTGACGCGGTCACACGTTCACACGTGACAACCGCACGGCCGCGGTTCTCTTCAACGTCCGAGAACGCTACCCGGTGCCCCACAGAGCCAGTCGCTCGGGGCCTTGGTGCGCCCTCCCGGCAGGACGAGCTGCCCGGCGTCCCTCCCGCAAACGCTCTCCTGGACAGGACGGGGTGGGCGCATCGGAGACCCGTGGCTCTTCCCAGACGGAGGCACCTGCCATCTAAGGACCCAGGCCTTCGAGCCCCGGGAAACACTGGTTGAAACAGACCACAGAGCTCCAACCATCTGGGTGCTCAGCTTAGAAAATACACCCCCCCCCCACGACGTGTGGGACCCACCCTGGGACTGGGGACCAGCTGGGCAGTGGATACTCGTTAGAGGAGGAACGGACAGGTTCCTGAAGCTAGAACAGAGGACCAGCCATGACGGGGGGACCAGCCATAATGGGGGGACCAGCCATGACGGGGGCACCAGCCATGACAGGGGGACCAGCCATAATGGGGGGGACCAGCCATGACGGGGGCACCAGCCATGACGGGGGCACCAGCCATGACAGGGGGACCAGCCATAATGGGGGGGACCAGCCATGACGGGGGCACCAGTCATGACGGGGGTACCAGCCATGACGGGGGGACCATCCATGACAGGGGGGGACCAGCCATGACAGGGGAACCAGCCATGACCGGGGGGGACCAGCCATGACAGGGGAACCAGCCATAACGGGGGGACCAGCCATGACAGGGGGGACTAGCCATGATGGGGGGACCAGCCATGATGGGGGGACCAGCCATGACGGGGGAACCAGCCATGACCGGGGGGGACCAGCCATGACAGGGGGGAACCAGCCATAACGGGGGGACCAGCCATGACAGGGGGGACTAGCCATGATGGGGGGACCAGCCATGACGGGGGGACCAGCCATGACGGGGGGACCAGCCATGAGAGAGGAGGGACCATCAATGATGGGGGGGACCAGCCATGAGAGAGGAGGGACTATCAATGACGGGGGACCAGCCATGATGGGGGGGGACCAGCCATGAGAGAGGAGGGACCATCAATGACGGGGGGACCAGCCGTGACGGGAGAGTGGAGATTGCTCCCTGTGCTCTGGGCACAGCTGTGCGCCCCCTGAGGCCGTTTCCCGCAGGCTGGGCGTGCGGTGGATGGCTCCCCAGCCCCCCTAGCCCGTGTGGCCACACAGAGGGCCTGTGTTGTGAGCCCAGGGAAGCCGGAAGTAGGTGCTGCAGGGGGTGGGCAGAGGGGCTGCCTTTTGCCAGCCGGGCTCACCCCCTGTTGGGCTTCTTAGGTGCTACTGGAATGTCAAAGGCTCTCCTGAGAATGTGGATGGGCTCAGGGGACCCTTTGCCCTGCGTTGGTGTCCTGATTCCCTCCCTACCAGCCTGAAGCAGAGGAGCCTGCATCCAGCCTCCTCCCCGTGCCCTTGACTCCTCCCCGTGCCCTTGACTCCTCCCCCACCCCCGTCGCTCAGCTGCAGCTGTCCTCTGGGCCGTGTCCAGCAGGTGGAGGAAGTGGGCTCAGCCCACCTGGCAGCCTCCCTCCCAGGCCCCAGGAAGGGTGCCAGCAGCTCCTTCCACCGCGGCTCCCGGACAGAGCAGGCAGCCCTGAATCCGCTGCCCAGAACGTTTGTTTTGTCGAAAGACAAGGAGCCCAGCCTCCTGGTATAGAAGCGGCACCCAGCACGGCCAATTAGCGCGATTTAATTACTGACAGAATCAGGCTTCCAAATTGATGTACGGCCCTGCAGAAGAAACACGTCTTCTTGGAGCAAAGCGCATTCCTTACAATTAATTTGCGAGAGACGAGGCGGGCGCCGCGGGCGGGAAGCCGTCCCGGAGACAGGGAGGCAGCCCCGGACCTGGCAGGCCTCGGCACGCTCCCGCCACGGGCTGTGTGATTACCGAGAAGATTGGCCAGGCTCGGGGACAGCGCGCTGGGGAGGGACAGCGAGAGGCCCCGCTTACACCGTGTTAGCCACAGACTCGATATCTGGAGTTGGAGCTTCTCCCCCAAACTCCCACCCCAAAGAGTAAGAACAACTCTGCCCGGCCAGCTGCGGGCAATGGGGCACTTGCTTAACATGTTAGGCGGCCACTGGCATCTGCCCGCCACCTTTTATCCTCAGGACACAGGCAGAGAAATCTGCAAGGACAGACCTCCCCCTCGGCCATCTGACGAGTGAAATTCTGGGAAAGAACATCTCCATTTGATTTAGAAAATATAAAATAATTGTTTATATGAAGAACAAGCAGTCGATAAACCTGAGAGGTATTTTATTTTTTTCCTCCTTTATTGATTTTAGAGAGAGAGGAAGGGAGAGGGAGAGAGAGACAGAAACATCGATGAGAGACAACATCGACTGGCCGCCTCCTGCATGCCTCCCATTAGGGATTTGGCCCAGGACCTGGGCAGGTGCCCTGACCGGGAATCGAACCGGCGACCTCTTGGTGCGGGGTCGACGCTCAATCCCTGAGCCACACACCTGCCGTGCCTGAGAAGTGTTTTCAAGAGACTCAATCTCACATTCAGGTGGCTTCCTGGGCGCATTCACTGCAGACGCGGGAGCTGAGACCTCAGGTGTGCGGGCTGCAGGCTCCCCACCATCGACCGTGAGCCAGGTCCGGGTTCCCATTACCTGGGCCTTGCTGGGAATGCAGATTCCCGAGCCCCCCAGACCTGGCGACTCAGGGCTCCGGGGCGGGCTCAGCACAGGGGTTCGAACAGCTTCCCGAGTGGGGGTGGTGGTGCTCAGCTCTCGGAGGCTCCGAAACATGCAAACTTTTGGGTTCTTTGCTGCATTAACGCTTGAGAATTTGGGGGGAGTGACACAGAGGACAGGCAGAGAAGTTTAAATAGAAGGAAAACAGAAAGACACACACACATTCAGAAAACTAAATGCAGACTGAGGGAGAAGCCTGCCTCAGGGGAACTCAGGACACTCTGGGGGAACGGCGCTTCCTTTTCCGAGCTCCCCTGCGCTGGACTCTCAAAGCCTCGGTGTATTTATTACAACCCCAAGCACAGGGAACGGAGCATCTGTTTCTGCCTTGGCCAGGTAATGACCCACTTTTCCCTCCTGAGGCAAGTCTCCCTCCCTTGGTTGGTGGTGGTTGGTTGACAATATTCTTTAAATATGCAGAGGCCCTTTCACTTCCTCTGAGGTTTCCTTGGCTTAATTCAAAGCCTCACACTGATCGGAGTCCTTGGGCTAAAATCACAGGATGCCGCTCTGTGATCTTGGTTTCCGGGGTGTCTTAATTAGGGTCTCGGCAGGTATGAACGGAGAACCGAACCTTGTCTTTTATCTCCTCACGGTCCCCTTGGCGCTGCACGGAGCTGCCCCCGGTTCCACATGGGTCACTGGGGGTCAAGTTGAGCTTCTTTGAGCATCACTGACTTGGCGGTCATTCCGGGATTGGGCGCGGGGGTCAGCAGGACTCCCTGGATGGCACGCCAGAGGTCAGAGGTCAGAGGCCCTGCTGCTGAGAGATTGTTGGGGACTGTCCAGCGCAGGGTGAGGGACCTCAATGCATTGATCTTTGGGGTCACCGGCAGGCGAAGAGCCTTAGACGCTTCCCAGGCCAGAGGACATGGCCTCAGCTGGGGGTCTGAGGACGAGGGAAGGGCGCCCGGCATCTGGACACCTGTTGGGAACTCCTAGGAGTTGGCCAGGTGTCTCCCCGCCTCCCAGCAGCCCCTCCCATCCGCCCTGGCGGGGAGGGGTGCCCGGGAGGGAGGGCGCCTGGCTGAGCAGGGGAGGTGGGATTTACTTTGCGGATTGGGGCTCTCAGCTGTCACTCCGAGAGGGTGGGGCTTTTTTTTTTTTTTTTTTTTAAGGCCAATTTCCAGGCAAAGCCCCGAACCCGCGCGGGGCACTGTGGCGCTCGCCTCCGTGCGGATGCAGTCTTGGCGGAGCGGCGAATCCTCCTCCGCGCGCCAGGGCCTCGCGTCTCCGCCGCCGGCCGTGCGCCCTGCGCGCGGGCCCGCCAGCCGGGCCGGGCCGGGCCGGGCCGAGCCGAGCGGCGCGGGGGGGCTGCGGCCGCCAAACTTCAGCGCCGGCGCGCGCGATCCCCGGGGCGCGGCTGGGAGGGATGGGGGCCGCGCGCCCGGCCACCCGGCCGGGGCCCCCCGCGCCGCCTCCGCCGGCGCCCCGGGCCCCGCAGCCCCGCCGCTCCACCGCCCGCGCGTGCTAGCCCGCCAGCCCGCGGCCCCGAGCTCTCGGAGCCGCCCTTTTTGGGCCAGCTGGGGGCCGGTCCACGCTCGGGTCAACAGGAAGGGACCAAATCCGCGTGGATTAAAGTAAAAAAAAAAACAACCCCGGCGGGGGTGAGAGGAGGTGGGGCTTGCCCGCGCGCGCCAGACTCGGGAGGCAACTCCGAGCGGCCGCAGCCCCCGGCCGGCATGGACTGGCGGGAGGGGCGCCCAGGGCCCCGAGGCTGCTCGCGCCCCTAGCGCGCACGCCCTCGACACGGCGCCCCGCGCGGGCCGCCGGGGACTCGGCGACTGTGTCTTCTTCGCCAGAAGGCTCCGGGGAGCGGAGGACCTGCTCTCCGGTGTCCAGGATGTGCCCGTCAGAGATGGGGACGCTGTGGCCTCGTTGGTCCCCCGTGCTCATCAGCCTGGCCACCCTGCTCTCCGAAGGTGAGGGGACGCCACGCTGCCTCCGGCCTCGGGACTAACTTTGCCGGGAGTGTGCGCGTGGCCAGGGCGGCTGGGACAGAGGGCGTGGGTGTGTGGAGGGCGCGCGTGTGGGCGTGTGCACCCGGCGTGCGGCTGCCAAGGTCCGGGGAGGCCCCTTTGCGGCAGGTACCTCCCCGGAGGAATTGGAGGGGGAGGCCCTCGGGGAGGCCGCAGAGGGACAGCGGGGACGTTAGCATGGTCCCCCGAAAGGGCTTGGAGTAAGGCAGGGGGTTGTGAGACCTTGAGGCGGAGGGGGCACTGGGCGGGCTGAGCTGGAGGTCAGAGGAGAGGGCTGGAATGACCTGGAGGGGCCGGAACTGGGCTGGACTTGCCCTGCCGGCGCTGACCTGTGGCGAAGGGTCGCAGGGCCGCCGGTGCGGGAACACGGCTGAGGTTTCCCTGGCCGCTGACAATGCGGCCTTGCTTAGCGCGGGTGCATTTCCACGCAGGTCCTGCCTCCGGCCTCCTGTGCCTGCTGTCCCCGCCACCCCAGTTGTCACGACAGGGCCCTGGCATGAAGCGGTGCAGACAGGGCTGTCCCTGCTCTGCCCGGGTCCCCGGCTGTTCCCGGCCCAGCTGGGAAGCTCAGGACACAGATCCTGGACCATCAGTTATGCGACCCACATAGGAGATTGTAGAAAGTACCAGCAAGTCCTTGTCCTTATTGATCGGGACTCCTGATTTGTGTGTGGTCCCCCCTCCCCCACCCGGCCCCCAAGCCCTTTTTCCTACAGAGAAATAAAGGAGATTCTCAGCAGTCTCCAGCGTGTGCCCTCAAATTCCTGAAAACAGATCTTTCTGAGGTTTTCGAGATGAGATCCTGCTGTCAGAAACTTCAAAGCCGGTGATCTCATGTAGAGTCTGTAATGACAGGAATTTCCTGTTCTCTGTGCTCTTTGGAATCAGTGGGGCTCTGCTGCTTGGGATCAGACCGTAGACTAAGACCGGGCACTCGCTGGGCATGGGCGCTGGTGTGGTTCAGGAAGGCACCTGGGCTGGCCCTGCCCCCCGTCCTCCGGTGCGATGGGCTCAGGTGTCCTGGTGATGACGTAGAGCCAGTCTGATGACCTCAGCTTCCGGGTTTATGACGGGCACAGGTCACCGAGGAGACGGCTGGGGGAGTCCGCTGTCTAGCCCCGGCAGACGTGAGGTCAACACACCCCAAGCCCGCAGCGAGAGCAGCCCAGCGGACGTGCCGATGGCTCCGGGGCCTGTTTTACAGGTTGTCCCTTGGCTTTATAACGCCAGCCAGCCGGCGTCTCTGTTCTCGCTAGCTCTGTCACCACAGCCTGACCAGGGCGTACTTGTGGCCGCGAGCATGGCTCTGTGACTGGTTTCTTCGTCAGACAGCAGTGTCGAGGACGACAGTGACTCCCTGGGCACCTCTGGGCTTTCTCAAGAGGGAATCCTGAAAATGTCCTCCAAACGAGGAGCTCTGTGGTGCGGAGGGCTCCGTGTGGGCCGTGGAACGCTCGGCCCGCGTGTGGCGCGTTTCGTGTGCTGAGCTCAGAGAACTCGGCTCGGCGGGGTGTGTGTGCAGACAGGACCCGGCGCAGTGCTGGCCCAGGGCACGGGCCTCGCTGGTGACTCCCAGCACGCTGACGGACGAGGGAGACCCCGAGCCGCTCCTGTGCGGTTTCCTGGGGTAGATGGGATTCCCAAACACGCTGTGGTCTCGGCGCCAGTTCCACTGTGTTCACATCACTGTCCTTCTCAGATCGTCTGACCACTCGAGGGGTCCAGACCAGCTTGACCTCAGACGCGGCCCCTATTGGAGAGGATTTGCGTTGGGAGCGGGGGACACGCGATGCCAGGGCCTGATTTGTCTGGTGCTGATGGAAAAATGCAGAGTATTACCACATATCAAATCTCTTCTTTAGCGGATTATTATTTTTACGATATTGCCTTAGTTGTTTTTTTTTTTTTCCAAAGATGAGTGTTGCAATGAACAGAAATGCATGTTTACACACCAGGCTAATGTCCTTGAACCTGACCTGTGTTTACAGAAGTGATGAGTCACAGAGCAAACCCACCTTCCTGTAGATCTTTCAAAAAGTAAATACAATAAAAGTTTATTGCTGGCACCTCTGGCCCTTGGGACCCAGGAACTAGACAGCGAAACAAAGAGTTTTATTAGCAATGTTGGCGTCTGGTCTCCACCTCCCCGGAGGATGGCAGAGAGTGTGTGTCTTGTGTTCAGGATCTGTTCTTTGATGGGAATTTGATGTTTGGGCAAAGATGAGTTTTAATGCATTGTATTTCCTTCATGGGAGGGGCGGGAGTTTGGAGAGCAGGGGGCCAAGAAGACGAGCAAAGAAGGTGAAAATGGAAGAGGAACATATGGGTTCACTAACTGAAATTCTGCAGGCAAGTCAGCGTCAGGTAAGGCTTGATCCAGGTGCTCATGGGATGCCCTAGGGACCTAGAACCTCTTTGCTTCTCTTTAACCGCTTTGGTTCTATTCTTAGACACATTGTCCCTCATTTAGACAAGATCTGTCTTCAGCTCAGAATTGTATCTGTTTACCCTAAACTCAGTAAAAATAAAGAGCATTTCTCTTATGAGTTTCATTAAAGTTCTGGACCTGCGTCCTCTAGAACACATTGCTCCAGGCGCCTCCTGGAACCAGTCCCTGTGCCCAGGAGGACGAGATAGGAGTAGGCCGATTGGATAGAAAATGAAGAGGTGGATACAAATGATTTGGAGTAATTACCGAAGGGAGGCCAATGGGTGCTGGATGGTCAACAAAACAGCCATCATCCATTCTTCAGGTTGTCATACTTTTTTTGTTGTTTTTTTTAACCCTCACCGAGGACATTCCATTTACCTTCAGATAGAGTGGGAGGGAGAGAGCGAGAGAAACATCAACGTGAGAGACATATCAACTGGCTGCCTCCTGCATGACCCTGACCAGGGCCGGGGGCAAACTGCAACCGAGGTACATGCCCTTGACCAGAATTGAACCCGTGACCCATTGGTCTGCTGGCCGATACTCTAACCGCTGAGCCAGACCGGCCGGAGCAGGTTGTCGCACCTTTCACCCTAACAGACATAAGTCCCACGTTCCCCAACATTTCACCGTGGAGGGAGCTCCCGTTTCTGCCCGATGATGGCTCCACGCAGAACTGCTCCGCTCCGGGGCCACGCATCCTGTGGCTGTTTGTTCAGATGTAATGTAAGCTTTGTTCTCCACGACTGTAATTTCTAAGAGTCCTTAATTAGATGTGAAAACGATGCACAATGGAAATTACTGTTGTGAATAAATATTTGCATTACGGGCGTCAAAAGCAGCACACGAACGCGCAGTTGCTTGTTTGTTTTGCCTCCAGAGTTTGGAAATGTGACGTCAGTGGGGCCGCGGAGACAGACGCCTGTGGAGGGGGTGGAACCTCTCCAGTAACATTACTTACATCCCGGGGGGGCCGTGTCCACTGTAAAAGGGGAAACAGAGTTTGATGCGCAACCACATAAAAGCAGCGGCCGAAGGAGCCCCCCGCCCCCCAGGTCTGCACACCTGGTTCCCACAACAAGCGTGCTGCGAGTCTTTCTTAATTAGCCGGCGCACGGCGGGGAGCTGGTTCTGCCTGCAGCTCGGACAAATGGAACCTGGAAGTGATGCGGAAAAACCAATTTCAAGATGTTCCGCTGTGAACTTTAGCCTAATAGTCAAACTTCGGAAGGACCAGAGCTGGCCGCGGGCCTCTGGGCCAGGCGTCACCGCTCTGCTGTCCTTTTCCCGGAATTGTTCGGGGTGGGAAGAGATGTTGGAGAGGAGGAGGCCGTTACTGCGATTGTTTCCCAACTTGAACGCCGAGCGGGCCTTGGGAACTAAAGGATGTGGAGGAAGTAACGGCCGGAGGCGCAGCACGTCTCCAGCAGGTGGGCAGGGAGACGCCTCTTCCTGCCTAGTTTCCTTCTGCGCGTGGACGGCAGAGGCCCTGGGTTTTTGTTTTTATTTTTATCTTCACCTGAGGACGCTTTTTCATTTTTTGTTCAGATAGAGTGGGAGGGAGAGAGAGAGAGAGAAACATCGATGTGAAAAGGACACATCGAGTGGCTGCCACCCGCACTACCCAACCAGGGTCGGGGACAAACTGCAACCGAGGTACGTGCCCTTAGCGGGAACCGAACCCGGGTTTCTCCAGACCGCAGGCTGATGCTCTAACCGCTGAGCCAAACCAGCCAGGGCGAGGCCCTGGGTTTGATCGACGGGTGTCGTGCGCCGTGGCTTGCACATCCGTCTGATCCGGTGGCTTATGCCTGGAGGTCTTGTCCACATTCCGAAATCCGGAGATTTTCATAGCCGTGTGGCTTTTCCTGCGTCTCTTAGGTGGTGAGCAGCAGTGACATCGGTCCACGGGGGCGCCCGGCGGGAGCTGAGCGGCCTCTGTGGCCTCGGATGGGTGACAAAGCAGAGTCTCTTCACCTGCGGCCACTCTTGTCCTGACACTGCTCCCCAATTCCCGTCCACACGGCCGAGCCTCTGCTTCCTACCATCGGAAAAGCATCCTCTGGTGTCTGTCCAAAGCGAGGGCAGCACCTGTGCGTCCTGAGTCGGAAGCACCTCCTCCTCCGACGGCTCTCCTGGGTCCCGTGTCCGTCTGCACGTCTGCTAGGCCGCAGCTGCCTTCATGTCAAGGCGCCGCTCGTCCGCGTGGCTGCCGGCTCGGGAACGGTGCCCTCGAAGTTAGGACACGGGAATGGAGGGGAACCGCACGAAGCCTCCCAGGGGGACGGGCGTGGAGAGGTTTTCATCAGGACACGTTTGCAAATTCCTTTTGTATGTGTTTGCTCTTAAACTTGGTCTGTCTGAACCGATTTACCATTTCTCGCCCCTCCCCCAACATCTTTGATTTTGCATTAGAAAGGGACCTCTCATCCCTCTGATGTTCCACCTCACCCAGGCGTGGGGACCTCCGTGGTCCTCAGAGGCTAAGTGGTGCCGTCAATCAGGGTGGCAT